GCTCTGAGACTTTAGCACAACTGAAGTTGTGGTAGAAGTACCATTCTGGCTGTAAAACTCAACATGTAGACAGCACTTGCCACAAGTGAAACACAGGCCTAATCCATCAAAGTCCACAGTTATGAGGAAAGTCTCTAAATGTACTAATCTTTCTTTTTGGCTTCTGTACTTCTGCTTGAACTCAGGATTATAAGACCAGAGTGGGCAACATAGCAAGACTCCATCTCAAAATTACTAACCGGGAGGGTGTGTGGGAGAAAAAATACGAAGGAAAGAAAAACGATATTCTCCTCATGCTAAAAAGGCAATGAGCTGATGATAGATGGTTTTACATCAGAATATTCTGATCATATCTTCCAAAGGTAGTGCATTCAGAGAAGTGGGTAATCTGTGTTGGGCAGCCCAGCACATATTTACACATGCTTTGGTTCCAAAACCAGGGCAAACTGCCAAATCAGTCATCAAATATTTACTGAGTCCACACATAATTTGTAGTGCCAAATCTGTGCTTACAACACTCAATTTTTAGTTTTCTATTTTATTTTGATATATAATACTCATACATAGGGCACATGTGATGTTTTGATACACCTATTCAATGTATATTGATCAAAGCAGAGTAATTAATGTATCCATCACCTCAAATGCCTTTCATTTCTTGCTGGTGAAACACTTAAAACCCTTACCGTTATCTTGAAACACACACAGTGCATTACTGTTACCTGTAGTCAGCTGATTGTGCAAGAGAACATCCCGTCAATCAACACTGCACCTGTTGCCCAACCTCTCCCAACTGCCTACTCCCTACCAGACTGCAGTTTGTTTTGTTTTGCTGTACTAGGGATCAAACTGAGGGCTTCAAATAGAGATATAGCTTAGCAGTAGTGTGCTTATCTACATGTGCAAGAACCTGGGTTAGATTCTTTGCAACTCAAGCACACATACACACACCCTACTGCATGCTAGGCAAGCACTCTGCTACTAAGCTACACATCCTCCCTGTGCAGACTAGATTTTCAAACTCCAGACAGAATATATTTGGGGGAAAAAAAAGAGAAAAGTAGGTCCAAACCAGGAACGGAGCACACCTGCAATATAAATTAAAAAACAAAACAACAAAAAACAGAACCAACTGATACAACACAGAATTCAATGGGACCTCAAAAGAAGATTATCAACACTCCTCAAATTATTCCACAAAAAAGAAAAGAAAGTTACACTTCTAAACTCCTTTAACAAAGCCAGTATTACTGATACCAAAACCAGAAAAAGATCCAACAGAAAAAGAAAATTATAGATCAATCTCTCTGATGAACATATATGCAAAAATTCTCAACAACCTATGTTTTTTTTAAAGATTTATTTATTGTGTATACAGTGTTCTGCCTGCATGTACACCTGCACGCCAGAATAGCGCATCAGATCTCATTATAGATGGTTATAAGCTGCCATGTGGTTGCTGGGAATTGAACTTAGGACCTCTGAAGTGCAGACAGTGCTCTTAACCTTTGAGTTTTCTCTCCAGCCCTCAACAATGTATTTTCAAGAGCACTGACTGTTTTTCCAAAGGACCCAGGTTCAAGTCCCAGCACCCACATGGCAGCTCACAACCATCTATAACTCCAATTCCAGAGGATGCAACACCTTCTTGTGGTCTCACTGGGTACCAGACACACACGTGGTACACAGACATATTTGCAGCAAAACACTCAAACATATAAAATAAAAATAAGAATAAATTAATAAATATAAAGCTGTTTTTCTGGTTTTTTTAAGTATTTTTTAAGCCAAAGTAAAAAATACATCAATAAGATCATTTAGTTCATTTTATTTTTATATTTTTCTATGCAGGCACAGGTAAACTCCTGTAGACGAAGTTTGTTTTACTTCAGTAATAGTCATGTACAGCCAGAATCTAAGATGAGGCACTTGGGATGCATACACATAGGGAATGCCATGGCAGGATAAGGGAGCAAGCAGGCCATCATCTGCAGCCAAGGTGAGCGGTCTTAGAGAAAATCAGCCCTTGCCAATTCCTTGACCTGGGACTCCCTGCCTCCAGGGCTGTATAGAAATTAAAGTTCTATATCTAGTCTGTGGTACCGTTGTGGCAGCCCTGGCAAACTAATAACTCCTCCAAGTTAAAATCCTTTACAGAACAGAATAAAATACAGTAAATTGGAGAGAATCTAGAGAAATGGGTCTCATTTCCCACTTTCCTGGACAGTGATTAGAACACTTTCAAGCCATCTTATTCTCCTGACAGAAATGGCACAATAAACTGAAGGAAGCAAGTAATATCACCTTCCTGGTTCCAGAGCTGGGATTCCTGTATCTATGAGGTGGCTTGAAAAAGAATAGTTCTGATGGGCTCACATGTTTGAATACTTGATCCCCAATTGGTAGAACTGTTTGGGAAGGATTAGGAGGTATGGCCTTGTTGAAGGAGGTGAGTCACTGGGGGCAAGTGTTGTAGAATATTAGTTTAAAGATATGTTACATTCATTTATGCTGTGGAATATTTGTTTAATGATGCAAAGATGTGCTGCATTCTTTTATGTTGCATTTGTTTAACTCTGTAAAGCTGTGTTACTTTGCCTGTCGAAAACATCTGATTGGTCTAATAAAGAGCTGAATAGCCAACAGTTGGCAGGAGAGAGAAACAGGCGGGGCTGCCAGGCAAAGAGAATAAATAGGAGAAATCTAGGCTCAAGGGAGAAGAATAGGAAGAGTTAGAAAAGGGGGAGAGGATGACGCCAGGGGCCAGGCATCCAGCCAGCCATGGAGAAAGAAGGAAAGAAAGATAAACAGAATAAAGAAAGGTAAAAGACCAGAGGCAAACTGTAAAGAGAAACAGGATAATTTAAGTCAGAAAAGCTGGCTAGAAACAAGCCAAATTAAGGCCAGGCAGTCATAAATAGAAATAAGTCTCCATGTATTTATTTTGGAGATGGGTGGCAGGCCCCCTAAAGAGTAAAAAAATTCAACTACAGGGAGGCGTTAAGGTTTCAAAGGACTCATGTCATTCCCAGTGTTCCTCTGTGCCTTCTGCAGGGGACCTGGCTTCAATTCCCAGCACTCATAAGGTGGCTCAAAACCACCTGTAACTCCAGTTCCAGGAGACCCAAAGCCTTCTTCTAGCCTCCTTGGGAACCAGACACTCATGTGGTGCATAGATAAACTCACAGACAAAACATCCGTACACATAAAACAATAAAAATTTAAGCCACAAATAAAATGCATTCTTCTATAAGTTGCCTTGGTCAGGGTGTGCTATCATGGCAAAAGGAAACTAAAACACTTAGGGTTTTACAGAGTAACGTCCGTCAGACGACAGAGCAAAGAACCAACTGGGAGCTCACATTTGGATCCACAACCAGAAGGTAGAGAGGTAACTCAAAAGGGTGTCCTTGTCCATGTTGAAGACCTTAGTTTAACACTCCAAACTCTCACAGGTTTCTACCTACTGTATTTAAGAGTTGATTTTCATGCCTCAGAGTTCAGTGTGTAGAAGGTGCTAAGGATGCTGAACCCTAGCCCTCTCCGAGGAGGGAGGTCCATACCGTGTAAGGAAGAAAGGGTTACCACAAACATTGAGAGCCTTAGTTTTCATGAAATAAGCAGCAAGGTAGAAGTCAGAGGGGAAGAAGTTGGGAGCTCATGAAATCTCATGGAACTTGAGTTCCATCCCCAGGACCAGCATAGTAGAAGGAGAAAAATGACTCGTACAAGTTTTCCTCTGAAATCCACATGGGCGCTCTGGTGAATACACACACACACACACACACACAAAAATAATACTTAATTTAAGGGCCAGCAACATAGCTCAGCAGGTAAAAACACTTGCTGCCAAGACAGGTGACCTGAGTTCAGTCCCTGGAACCCCCACAGGATGGAAGGAGAGAACTGACTCCAGAAAGCTGTCCTCTGATCTCCACACATGTACTCTGGTATGTGTGTGCAGGCATGCACCCGTACGCGCGCGTACACGCGCGCGCACACACACACACACACACACACACACACACACACACACACACACAAAATAAATGTCAATTTAAATTGTTTTTTAAAAGCCCAGAGAAGTCATCTACTATAGTGCCCATCTAGAAATTTTCAAAATTCTGCTATACCAACTGAAGTTGCCCAAGTTATAAACTATCAATAAAATGGTGAAAACAAATATAAATAAATAGGATATAATCACAGTCCTCTTAAGCTTTTTAAATTTAAAATTTTGTATTTTCTATCTGCATTTAACACCAGCCCTAATAGCTACTTAAGTATACACAATTTTTTTTCAAGAATAATGACCAGACTTAAGATTCTGTTCCTGAGAACTAATTTTTACCATTTTGATTTTACCATTTTGGCTAATTTCATTAACAATTAAAATGGAGAAGATGATGGATTAACGGTGCCCAAGTCACAAGTGTGGCTCATATATGATTCCTGACTCATCTATCACACCACTTTCAACACAAAAATAATGTTTTTTACTTAACAAAATACATCGACTTATAGAAATTTTAAAAAGTCATACTGTTTAAAAATATATGTTGAGCACCAAGAGGGAAGGGAAGCCACATTCTGGAATAAAGAAATTAATATTGATCAGTCTGCACAGAATGAGGATGAGACAATGCCCATACCATACCTGGCAGTCTGCAGATTTGTGTGCCCGTGAACGTAAGGCAGCCGCACAGGCCAGATGGTTACCACTGCCAGCTCAGCAGCTGAGCTCTTGGAGAAAAGGCGGCATCTACACCATAGGCCACTAGAGAACCAGAACTTACAGCCAGCCTCTCTGGAAGCGAATGGAGAATGTGGCGCTGACACCGGGAAAGTCCGACAACAAACGGGGTTGCTGGGGGCTGGGGAGCTTCCAGGGCTACCTTGCTGAAGGCATACAGCAACCGCCCGTGGGCTAATATTAATACCTCACCCCAGAGGTGAAAAGAAAAAACTCCAGGAGGGCCGAGAAAAGGGCTCGACCTTACCTTGTCATCCTCGCATCTCTTCCCCAGGCCCTCCCTGGCCTGCAGCCGGCTGCTGAGGCGGCCGTAGTCGGCCTCCTTCTGGTCGATCTGCTTCTTATGCGTGTCCACCAAGAGCAAGAGGTCCGAATTGCGCTTCTCCAGGCGCCCGCGGGCCACCTCGGTGCGCTGGACTTGGCCCTGCAGCTCGGCCACCTCCTCCTGAAGCAGAACGTGGCGGGAGGAGATGCTCCAGTAGTTGAAGGCAAGGACGACGATGACCACCAGCAGCACCACCAGCACGAAGGAGGGCAGGCGGCCGGCCCGCCGGTTGGCCCCGAAACCCACCATGGGGCCGGTGGCTCCGCCGCCGCCGACACCTGCGGGCAGCGCCGGCCTGCGCTCCGAGCCGCCTCGGGACCAGGTTCCCCCGGAGGCGGGCCTATGGGCCGGAGCGCGGAAGGGGGCGGGGCGTCGCGGGTCCTCCCCGCCCCCTCTGCGCCCCTCGCCGCAAGCCCTCCAAGAGTCGAAGCCGGGCAAAGCGCCCGCCGCAGGGGACCCGGAGAAGAAGGCGCCGGTACCCGCGGCCCGACGCCTCAGGGCTGGGGGCGGGGACGCGGGCCGGAAGGGGGCGGGTTTCCTCCGGCCCCGCCCACCGGCTGGGGCCGGGGCGCCCAGGGGGCCATTTGCTCGTTTCCGCCGACGCCCCCTCTTCTCGCGAGATAGTGGGCTTACTCTCGTCTCCCCCTGCGGTCCTGTCTCGCGAGGGTTCTCTGGAGGCTGGGGTGCGGTGTCGGGGTCGCGCTGCGTACCTGGGTGGGTGTGCCTGCTGCTGTTACCTGGTTGGTTCCTTTGAAGCCAGGTCTAGGGAGAGCCTGCTTTCAGCTGCCCTTTGGCAGAGTTTTGTCTGTCAGGAATTGTGGGATTGTTGCCACCAAGTAGGGAAGGCTCTAGGTGAGGTGCGACCAGAGAGGGGTGTCTAGAAAGGTTTCCTGCTTGTTCTTGTTTGTGCCAACGACGCGGAGAAAACAAAGCAGTTAACATCAGCCCACAAAAACAGCGGTGCCCAGACAACACGGAAAGAAAGCCAGAGCAGCTAAGCTCTAGGAAGCTCTGGGATTGAGATGTGTTAGCAGCCCGGTTTCCAAGGTTACTGCTGTCACAGACAGAAAGAATTCCAGAATGCGGTGCTCCTATTTTAAAACGCTCTGCTGCTTTTTCCTCGACTGTGCCGAAGACAAAGTCCAGAAGCTGCCCTCAGTGAATGGCAGCTAATGCGCCGTTACTGACGGCTGACACATTCCGAATTAGCCATAGCAGCGCTTACAAGTTGTTCTGCACGCCTAGTTTTGTATCCCTCCTCCCCCGATAACAGTTTTACAGATGAGGAAGCCAGGACACAACGATATTCGGAAACTTCAAAGTCCTGAATCTTTGCTTTGTTGCAGGTGTTGATCTTTCGTTAATTTCAGTGCTCCAGAGAATGCCCTGCTTGTTCCCACTGCATGCTTTTTTTTAAATACGTGTTTAAACAATTAAAAATTCCTGGTTTTCACCTGCGTAAGCAGAAGATGGATTTGCTGTTATTTTTCAGACTCCAGGTCAAGAACTTCCAAGAGTATAAGCCCTCAAGAACACACACTTTAGTGTGTTTATTCAAACCGGCTGATAGTTTTGAGACAGGAAAACTTCTTTAATTGTTTTCATGCTTCCTGTGTATTCCAAAAATAAAGTTTATCTGCTTCCAGAAAAATATATTGTACCTTCACACAGAGGGATTTCTCTTTGATTTATTTATTTTAATGTGCATTGGTGTTTTTGCCATGTGTGTCGGGTCCCCTGAGACTGGCATTACAGGCAGTTGTGAGCCATGTGGGTGCTGGGAATTGAACCGGGGTCCTCTGGAAGAGCAGTTCGTGCTCTTAACCTCATGCTTCTCTTTTATATTGTACAGAAAAACAGCACACAATTGTTACTATTTAGTTCACATCAAAGTTGAACTCTTAGCCTGGAAGGTTAACTTTGCCTGTAATTAGAGCATGTGGGAGGTTGACACAGAAGTTGGAAGCCAGTTTGGGGTGCATACAAAGCAAATGTCTCAAAAGTTCAGCCCTGACTTCAGAAGACCTGAGAAGTCTTCTCTACTCTCAGATATCAATCAAACAGACTTTCGCAAAAAGAAGCCAGGTCAAACATGGAATTTAAAAGAATGATTACATTTACTTATGGGAGGGGTGCATGTATGCCACAGCACATGTGTAGAGGTCAGAAGACAACTTGCAAGAGTGATTTCCCTCCTCCCAAGTGGGTCCTGGGGATCAAACTCAGGCTGTCCAGCTTGGCATCAAGTGCCTTTTTCTACGGAGTCCTCTCGTTGCCCCCAGATTGGAAATCTTAACCATTTATTCTACTAATAATAGCTACATATTATCTCAGCCAGTAGTTGAAAATCCATTAAATGATTTCTTAAAGTGTTACTCTTCCCAAGGATGTTGTCTTTTTAAAATGGGATTTTGACAAATCTACATTATACAAAACACATGCACAAACTTTTTCCCAACAGGTGCTTCAAAGCACTAATTGACTAGTACTCTATTTTACAAACTCACACATAACTTTTCTAGAGTTATAAGCTAGGAATTGCTGAGCTGATGCTTGAAGGACTCTTTTCCTTTCCTCTTTGGGATTACCACCCCCCTCCCCCAGTGACCTCCTCAATTGTAGGCACACTTTACTGTGTCTGGGCAACTGCTCCCAAAAAACCACACAGAGACAATATCAATTATAAATGTTCAGCTGATAGCTTAGGCTTGTCTCCAGTCAGCTCTTACAACTTAAATTAGCCCATTTCTATCAATCTATGTGCTTCCCCAAGGCTCATTTACCTCATCTATGACCTTCCCATGTTGCTTCTTCCTAGTCTGGCTTGAGACCCAAGACTCTGCCCTTCTTCTTCCCAGCATTTTCTCTGCCCCCCAAATCCTGCTTAGCTATCAGCCAATCAACTTTTCTTTTCTTTTTCTTTTTTTTAAAGATTTACTTATTTATTATGTATACAGCATGTATGACCAGAAGAGGGCACCAGACCTTATTACAGATGGTTGTGAGCCACCATGTGGTTGCTGGGAATTGAACTCAGGACCTCTGGAAGAGCAGTCAGTGCTCTTAACCTCTGAGCCATTTCTCCAGCCCCAACTTTTCATTAACAATGAGAGCAACACATTTTTAGAATGTACAAAAGGATTATTCCACAGCACTCAACTTATCCCCTTAACAGTAACTCTAATTTAGAAATCACAGAGGGAGTGTATAAGTGAGTTCATATAGCCAGTTTATAAGTTAGGCATTGACCAAATAAAGGCAAACGTCAGTTCTTTAAGCCATATGATCAAGATTTACACCGATGGTGAAATATGTTGACTGTGTGTATCCTCAATGTGATGTAGTGGTGGGAATGCTCTGCAGTTCTCTCAAAAACTCAAACTAGTCTGATGGTGAGAAAAATGTCAGACAAATCCAAGTGGAGAGACGTTCTATAAAGTCCCGAAACAATATTTCCCAAAGCTGTCAGGTGGGCTGGAGTGTAGTTTAGTGGTAAAGTGCTTCCCCGTGTTTGATCTCCAACACCACAAAAAAGAAAACAACAAAAATCAAGGTCATCAAATCTAAAGAGAACCTAAGAAAGGGCCACAACTGTAAGACACTAAAAGGGACGTGATGAACAAATGCAGCACGGGACCACGGAACAGGACAAGGCCACTAGGTAAAAACTAAGGAAGCCTCAACTAAACACATACTTTAGGTAATATTGTGGTGGTTTGAATGAGAAATGTTCCCCATAGTTGAGGGCATTTGAACACTGGCTTCCCCAAGTGGTGGTGCTTCTTTGAGTAGGTTTAGGAGGTGTGGCCTTGCTGGGCTGAGTGTGTCACTGCAGGGGCCATGGGAGAGCTTTTAGACTATTTCTAGTTTGCTCCCTGTTTCCAACCTGAGGTTCAAGATACGAGCTCTCAGCTTGAAGCTGCAGTGGTTATGCTTGTTTCTGTGCCCGATGCTTCCCTGTAATGGTTGTGGACTGCCATCCCTCTGGAACTGTAAGCCCAGATAAACCCTTCTTTCTCTAAGCTGCCTTGATCATGGTATTTTGTCATAGCAATAGGAAAGTAACTAATGCAAATAGTGTGACGTTTTATTGTTCTTTTGTTTTTGTTGTTGACTGGCCTCAAACTTGTTCTGTGGCAAAGATGACCTATGACTTCTGATCTCTTTGCCTCCACCTCCAGAATGCAAGGATTACAGGCATTCAACGTGTTTAAATAGTGTTGGTGGCCAAACCCAGGGCTTGCATATGTCAGGCAAGCGTCTACCACCTGAGCTATAATACTGTATTCTTAATAGTTCATTGTCACAAATGCACATATAATACAGGCTGTTAACAACAGGGGAAAGTGGAGATGAAGAACTCTACACTGTCACAATTGTTCTGTAGATCTAAAACCCTTCTAAAATACTTTTAATTAATTTAAACTAAATTTTTTGGTAATTTCATACATGAAAACATTGGTTTTACATCATTTCCATCCTCCCCTCTCCCCCTCCAACTCCTTCCCACCCCCACCCCCAAATTCATAACTTTTATAATTGTCCAATAGTGTTGCCTGTGTGTACACAGGCTTAGGTCCGACCACTTAGGCTTGGACAATCTGTCAGGGGTGATAAACTTATTCTCCCTCACTTCGTAACCATCTACCTGTTACTTCATCTAGGAGGGAGGCCTTGGGAACTCTTCTCCAGCCATGTTGTCATGTTGGTGGGTGCAGTCTTATGCAGGCAATTAAAAATTATTTTTAAGAAGTCAATTCTGCCGGGCGGTGGTGGCGCACACCTTTAACCCCAGCACTCGGGAGGCAGAGCCAGGCGGATCTCTGTGAGTTCGAGGCCAGCCTGGGCTACCAAGTGAGTTCCAGGAAAGGCGCAAAGCTACACAGAGAAACCCTGTCTCGAAAAACCAAAAAAAAAAGTCAATTCTGACAGACTTGGTGGTTTATGCCTCTAATCCTAACACTCAAGAGGCAGAGGCAGGAGGATCTCTATGAGTTTGAGGCCAGCCTGTTCTATATAGCAAGTTCTAGAACAGTCAAGGCTACATAGTGAGGCCCTGTCTCTAAAAAAAAAAAAAATCAATTCCTGGGACAGAAGAGATGGTCCAGTGCTTAGGAGCTCTTGCTACTCTTGAAAAGAAGCTGAATTCAGATCCCAGCACTCACTTTGAGGCTCATAACCATCCTTAACTCTAGTTTCAGGAGATCTGATGCCCTATTTTGACCTCTGCAGGCACCAGGCATACATATAGTATACATACATACATGCAGGCAAAACAAATACATGAAACAGAAATAAATCTTTTTATTTTATTTTATTTTATTTTACAATACAATTCAGTTCTACATATCAGCCACGGATTCCTTTGTTCTCCCCCCTCCCGCCCCCCTCCCCTTCCCCCCAGCCTACCCCCTATTCCCACCTCCTCCAGGGCAAAGCCCCCCCCCCCCCCCAGGACTGAGATCAACCTGGTAGA